GAGAGAGAGAGAGAGAGAGAGAGAGAGAGAGAGAGAGAGAGAGAGACTGGCCACAAAAATGCTCACCACCCAGAACGAAGCTCGGCCTCCTACTCCTTACTGGACCCGCACTCCTCCACATATGGAGAGAGATCATGCCGAAAAAAGTTAACAGACCTAAATCTAAAGAGGAAGTTCTATGTCAGCCTCTTTTTGGGAATCCATGCGTGAGGGTGGGAGGTGACCATCCATTATCGCTCACAAGCTGGCTGTCATGGATTAGGCATGGTATGCAGAGAGTAAGCCACATCTGGCACAAAGTTAAAAAGGACTGGATAGCGGACCAAGTTCTTAAATCCCATCTTAATGGTTGTCGCCTTCGAGACGAAAACTTATAGATAGTAATCAATAGCATCCCAGACAGCTGGAAGGACCTACTGAAAGAGGACTTCGCATGGAAGTCAGGAGAATGGGGAACTTTTTTGACCCAAGATACGGCGCCAACAAGGGCCTTCCAATTCTCCCACAGACTGCCAGGCTCAGACTTCCTAGGCGTCTTTACCTCATTTCCGATTAGCTTAGCCAACCCCGAGTCCCCCTCCATACGGAACTTCGACCTACAGAGAACAGTTCTCAACTCATTTACGCTGTGCAAAATAGTAGTCTTGGGCCTCTGGCCAAAGACAATATTCCAAATAGACACACCAATTCAAACTGCTAGTACCTGTCCCTGCTTGAAAAACAAATATGCCGCAACTTTCGGGGCCGGGCCGCCGTGGCTAAATTTCATCGGCAGCCCATGTTGTGTTCCGGGCCTCCAAAAGCCGTGGTGAGGGGCCCGCAGCCGATCTATGGGAAAGGTACTGGTGGTTTCAAGAATTGGAGTTCGACCCTGCTGAATGGGTTTGCCCCCCAGGAAATAACAGAATTAACAAAAACCCCATTCAGATAAGACTGCTAAAATGGGTTACAGAATGTTGCTAAAGACCGAAGACCCTGAGCCCACAGTAAAAAATAGATGACTAATAGCCTAGTAATAGGTCCGAAAGCAGATCAAATCACTTAAGTACCATGGGGAAAATACAAATCCTTACTTCCAGTCAAAATAAGGAGTCTCCGATGGCTCATTAGTAGTCATTACTTATGCTGCACTCCCTGTGGATAGCTGGCTACGCATCGGGAGAAGGAATACAAATCCAAACAGCTCGGATCTTTGTGTAGTGTGCTCGGACAATGAACAGGAAGCTACAATACATTGTCTAATCAGATGTAAGGAGGTTACTGAATACTGGGCTAGAGCATCCGGTCTATGGGATCATCTATTCCCCTTGTCACTTCCCGAACATCCCATCCAACTGCTTCTGTGGACCAACACCGCTGCTCACTTTGGCAAATCGGAACGCATCTGGTTTGGATTAATTCGTAAGGTGACGCTCTGGGTCGTACGGAAGGAAAGATGCAGCAGGACTTTAGACAACTCCAATACCCCGCGTGAGAGAGTGTGGGCAACGACGAAATCACTAATGGAGGCGGAAATTCCTTGTCAATCAAGTCCCAAATAGAAAGCGATTTGGACAAACAGCAGGAACTCCTGGCCAAATTCGAAAGAACCTGGCTGACTGGAGGTAAGATAGCTGAGTTCCACGGACCCGATCTCAGGTAGAAGGACTGGCACAATGCCATTCCAACTCGGACTACAAAGTACTCATCATCCAGAGCAAAAGGACTCCAGAAGGACAACTTAATGCTGGCACAAGCCTCAAGGGAACCACATATCCACAACCCGGCCAAGGCGGAGGAATAGAGGAACGACTCGAACGAGTGAACTGCGGTCCATTCCAGTTTTGCCTTCTGTTCTTCTTGCAATCATGTTTGGCTGACAGGTTTTACAAAGAAAAACCTGAGAGCAATTACAAAGGAAGGCAAGCTGACAGTCAATCCTCCAGTGATTGGAGTAATCCATGCTGGTCAGAGATTCGTTCGTCACAACGGAAGGATGCGTGTATGCGTGAATGATGAAATTTTCAAATTGACCTTTTTGACTTGCCGGCGGAATAGGAACCGAACTGACGCACCCAAGAGCCTAGCTCAGTGGGTACACCCATGAACTGTTGAAATACAGACCTGTGTTCGAATCCAGATGATGGAACTTGACGAGTAAAACCGACTACTAATGAATTGCTTGGGGCCGGTCAGCTCAATGATAATATCTCAAGACCGTCACCCCTTTCTTTACAAAAAGAAATTAAAAAAAAAAGAAAAAAAAAAAGGAACTGAACTGACGCTCCCCAGAATGGATATGGAGCCAGGACCATAAGGACCTGTTTAAAGAAATCAAAAAACAAAAAAGAAAGATGACGATCATGATTTCTAACTGGGCCTGGTGCTTAGTCTTTTTTTTGTTCCACCTTTTTTCTGGGAAGATGCTCCAATCCATTCGTGGGGAGCATCACGTGCTGGGAATCGGGCCCATCGTCCCTTCACAAAAAACTTACAGATTTTTTTAAAGCACTGAGGCCATATTGGCAGTTCCTCCAGCATGTGGGGTGGCTCCCACAGACGATTAACCCAAATACTGTAACAAAATCGAACTATCAAAGTCAATGGGGCAAGGTTGACTCTTTTCATTTCTGTTTTCTGCAAAATCGAACCACCACTACCTCAAAGCTGCTTCTTCCTGTCGGGGGGTTATGCTGCACGCAGAGTTCAAAACGAACCGGCACAGCGCACGTTTTTTTCCTTTTCAGCGGGTGCTGCCAGCCAAAGAGGTCCGGGAGGCCGAGCCCCCGAAGAATGTGGATCTAATCATGTAAACCAATTTGTCGCAAGTTTGCCTGTGAAAGACCCTGATTATTAAAACAAGAAAAAAGCTTCACATTCCAATGGTATAATTGGTATGTAAGTGACAAGAAAAGAGGAGTACTCATGTCAGTGATCAACCCCTCTTGGATAACTTGAATTAATTTGAAAATTTGACTAACTCATTATCACCGTGAATTTGCATAGTTTGACAGATTCATGCATCATTCCATTTTCTTCTTCTGTCTCTTTGAACTCAAAGTGACGGTCAAAAACTCAGAACCAAGAACACCCACCTCAGTCCAATCATTAACTTCAATCCGATTTCTGAGACAAGGAACTTCCCGACCCCTCTCGTGAAAGAAAAACTGTGAGGGGTTCTCTCTCTCTCTCTCTCTCTCTCTCTCTCTCTCACACACACACACACACTCTCTCTCTCTCTCTCTCACACACACACACACTCTCTCTCTCTCTCTCTCTCTCTCTCTCTCTCTCTCTCTCTCTCTCTCTCTCTCTCT